CACCATTTGGTAGCCTAGCCCAAACCCAAAAGTCCTGCTAGGATGCATCTTGGCTTCCCTGCTGATGAAACTGAGTGTGTGAGGATTGATGATATTTTCATTTATCCCTTTCAGACCCCTAAGTAGTAGCCGCTGCCAGGACATTGTCCTGTTCGCCTCTGTATAGTTCCAGCCTTATTTCAGACGTTGTGGTAGATTGCAATCAGGGTGGATTTGATATAAATCAAATTGATTTCAATCACAATTTACAATAAATCACTGGTCAGTATGACTCTATTTAAATCAAAAAATTCTGATTTGGTTACACTATTAGAAATACATAGACAGATAATTATGAAATCATTCTGAGGTTTAATAGGTTTACTGTCTATATTTGGACAACAGTTCTCCTGTAATTTATTGGAAGGAGAAAAATAATCATTTCCTTAATAACAACTTAAACTATTTAACTAAAACAATAATATTATAGCATGTTGGTAAAAATATTTTTTTTATAAAAAACAACCAAGCAGACTGAGTTTTAGCACACATGAAAAACTCAGAACTTAAGCATTTCACCACCTCCACTACCAGCCACCCCTTTGGATTGGCTTCTGCATCGAGGTGCCTATTCTGTACAGTTAAGTGTTAGTGCGGCTGTTGGAACCCAGTGGGATTGGGAAGAGGTTGCCAGCCCTGAAGAGCCTTCAGCGCTTGCCTCAAGTCTGACTTGCACAATTATTACACAAAGACCCCAAGATGTGTGGAGTATTCTGCTCACAAGGTTGCACTTTCATTTTTACTGCTTCACACTTAGCTACTTGTGCAGATCTCTTCCACTGCAAACCATCTGTTCATTGAACCTCTTGGAACTTAGAATTTAAGGGGTTGATTCTGTGTATAGAAATCTGCAAAGGAACAATGGGATTAAGGTTTTCCCTCAACTCTGTATATTTATTTTATAACATTTTTCCTGTGAAGAAAAGGCATGTTATCTCTGCAGATACAGAAATTCACACTTTTGAGAATGGCAAAAACGAGCATCTGTGACAATATCTTCTCATTAGAAAAACTTCCCCAAATAATCTTACAGAATTACCCCACCTCCCGCAGAAGCCGCGCGCCCTTTAAAAAGCACGCCGCTCTTGGGGGCTTTTCCCTGAGGAGGGAGAAGGGACTGACTGGCTGCGTCAGTCCCTTCTCCCACCTCGTAAAAAAGCCCACAGGAGCCGTGCGCTCCTTAAAGGGTGTGCAGCTCCTGTGGACTTTTGCGGGAGGTGGGGAATACTGTCAGGGCTGGCGGGGGAAGTCCGGGATGAAGGCTTGCTGCTGCCCTGCGGAGGCTTCGCTGGCTACCCCAGAAGCCAGAACAGCTAGAGATAGTGCTGCTCAGTGCTCCCTCTAGCTGTTTTAGCTTCTGCCTTAGTGGCGCAAAGCCTCCGCAGGGCACCGGGGAGCTCTGCTCAGCGCTCCCTTTAAATAATATTTTTCTTCTTGAATTCTCCCTCTTAGAAACTAGGTGTGCCTTATGATCAGGTGCGTCTTATGGAGCGAAAAATACGGTAGGTAGGAGAAAATAACAGAGGCCAACCAGAGTATATGGAGAAGCAAAGTGGCTAGCAAGCCTGATCTTTATTGCAACAGTGTCCCCCCCCCCCTCACCACAACCAGGAGGGAGGTGTGCAAGGCCTTATGTAGTCTTTTGAAACTGCCCACCCAAGACCACCCCCCCAAATATCATACAGAAGGAGACTGTCTACAGCAGGAATACATCACAGGAGGCGGTCTACAGCAGAAAACCTGTCCCCAAGGATACCTGTTAATGGTCACTAACTGCATTACCTGGGCAGCCTGGGCATTCTTTTGTGATGGCAAATACTTTAGTTCCTGAATCCAGGTCGCAGGCCCACCCTGTTCATCCCTCCTTAAGACAGTATTTGTAAGCACAAAGACAATGAGAAGGCTTCCATTTGCCTCCTTTACAGCAGAGGAATATTTGAGTACGTTTCTGAGCACAATTCAAAGTGTTGGTGCTGACCTTTCAAGCGCTAAACGGCCTCAGTCCTGTATACCTGAAGGAGCATCTCCACCCCCATCGTTCTGCCCGGACACTGAGGTCCAGCTCCAAGGGCCTTCTGGCAGTTCCCTCCCTGCGAGAAGTGAGGTTACAGGGGACCAGACAGAGGGCCTTCTGGGTAGTGGCGCTTGCCCTGTGGAATGCCCTCCCATCAGATGTCAAGGCAGCCCAGTTTAGGGAAGTTCTTAATATTTAATGCTTTACTGTTTTTAACACTTGATTGGGAGCCACCCAGAGTGATTGGGGAAACGCAGCCAGATGTTATAAGATAGTCTCAGTGTATTTTAGAAAGGGAGTTGTGTAAAGGGTTTTTCATGTTGGTAGGCCCACCACCTGCCTCCTCGATCCGTGCCCGTCTTGGCTGATTAGGGAGTGTCCAGATGTTGTGCGGACCCCCCTGGTTGAAATTATCAATTTGTCCCTTAACACGGGGACATTCCCAGGGGAACTGAAGGAAGCAGTGGTGTGTCCACTCTTAAAAAAACCTTCATTAGATCCCTTAGACCTATCCAATTACCGCCCAGTTTCAAATCTTCCATACCTGGGTAAGGTAATTGAGAGAGCGGTTGCTGAACAGTTTGGTAGGTTTCTGGAGAAAACATCGGCATTAGATCCATTTCAGTCCGGTTTCCGTCCTGGTTTTGGGACAGAGACGGCTCTGGTTGCCCTAACAGATGATCTCCGTAGACAACTGGATCGAGGCGGGTCAGGACTGCTGATCCTTTTAGATTTGTCAGCAGCCTTTGACATGGTCGATCAACCGCCTCGCAGACGTGGGGATACAGGGCATAGCCCGTAACTGGTTGTGCTCTTTTATCTCTGGTCGGGGACAGAGGGTGGCACTAGGGTGGGAAATGTCGTTGCGCCACTCCTTGGTATGTGGAGTGCCGCAGGGCGCAATTCTCTCCCCGATGCTTTTTAACATCTTTATGCGCCCCCTTGCCCAGATTATCCGGAGCTTTGGGCTGGGCTGTCACCAATATGCTGATGACACTCAGCTCTATCTGCTGATGGATGGCCACACCGACTCGACCCTGAACACACTGACCAGATGCTTGGAAGCTGTGGCTAGATGGTTTTGTGGGAGCCGATTGAAACTAAATCCTTCAAAGACAGAGGTCCTATGGCTAGGTCGGGATGGCATGGGGATGAGGGACCAACTCCCTTCTCTTGCGGGGGCCCAATTAGTGCCATTGCCGTCCGTTAAGATTTTGGGTGTAATCCTTGACGCCTCCCTTTCCATGGAGGCGCAGGTTACAGCAACAGCCAAGGCGACATTTTTCCACCTTCGCCGCATCAAGCAGTTGGTCCCTTACCTTTCCCGCCCTGACTTGGCCACAGTGATCCATGCGACGGTCATCTCCAGGCTTGACTACTGTAATTCGCTCTAGGCGGGGCTGCCCTTGAAGCTGTCCCAGAAACTCCAGCGGGTACAGAATGCTGCAGCGAGGCTCCTCACGGGGTCTCTGCCATGGGAGCATATTCACCCAGTGCTTTTCAAGCTGCACTGGCTCCCGGTGGAGTACAGGGTCAGATTTAAGGTGCTGCTTTTGACCTTTAAAGCCCTTCACGGCCTAGGACCCTCGTACCTACGGGACCGCCTCTCCCGGTATGCCCCACGGAGAGCCTCAAGGTCCATAAATAGCAACACCCTAGTGGTCCCAGGCCCTAAGGAAGTTAGACTGGCTTCAACCAGAGCCAGGGCCTTTTCAACTCTGGCTCCGGCCTGGTGGAACGCTCTGCCTCATGAGACCAGGGCCCTGCAAGATCTGATTTCTTTCCGCACGGCCTGTAAGACAGAGTTGTTCCGCCTGGCCTTTGGCTTGGAGCCAATTTGATTCCCTCCCTCCCTCCCTCTCTCTCTCTTTTTTTCTCTTTTCCTTCTCCTCCTGCGATGAGGCTACATTTTAATATTTTAATGTTCCATTATTTTAATGTTGTATTTTATTTTTGTTTTTAAGTTGTAATCATTCATCTTGTTTTTATTATTGCTTGTAAGCCGCTCTGAGCCCGGCCTTGGCTGGGGAGGGCGGGGTATAAATATATATTTAAAAATAAATAAATAAATGTTTGATCCGTGTTTCTGTGTAAATAGTGTGCGTCAGACTGAGAATGTCATCAGGAAGGTCTAGGAAAGGGTGCACCTGCTTCTGAGCATCAGAAATGAGCTTGGAAAGAGTTAATATCATAAACCTACCGGAATCGGCCCCCACCCTTTGTAACAAGCAGCTGTAGTTCTTTTGGGATTTAATATCAGCTCATGAAAAGTTGGGCACATGACCCGGAAAGCTGCCTGGCTCCCTCAGTCTGAAGGCGGAGATATGCACCACACGCCATAGTCGAATTCGGCTGGACTTGCCATGGGAACGCAGAAGGGGCAAGCAAGGAAGGGGGAGACGGCCAAAGAAACCTGCTCTCACACAAGTGCCCCCCCTGCCAATTCCGTAACATTAGCAAAGCCCAAGTTCAAACACCAGCCCCTATTTAAAAGAGGCCCCCGTAATTTCGACACTGGACTGCCCTTTAGGGTTGCCGTAAGTTACTCTTCCAAGTCCCAAATGCGCGCAGCAACTCCGGTCTATTTTGCAGGGCTGTTGTAACAGGGACCCCCTACGCCACTGCCCAGGGCAGCCCAAAGTGACGTATAACCAATTGTTGTTGTTGTTTTCCACGGTGAGACTCCAAGGTCTTCTGTGTCATGTTTCCTGTGCAGTGGACGCTCAGGTTGCGAACGTGATCTGTGCGGGAGGCACATTTACAACCCGCAGTGCCGTGTCTGTGCATGTGCGGGTTGCAATTCAGTGCTTCTGCACATGCGCAAAGCGTGATTTAGTGGTTCTGCACATGCGCGAGTGCCAAAACCCAGAATTAACCTGTTCTGGTACTTCTGGATTCTGTGCGGTGCCCAACCCGAAAACACAACTCAAAGCGTCTGTAACCCGAGGTATGACTGTCTTTTGGAAGGCAGCGGGAAGGCTGTTCTCAGAGCCTGCTCCACTGTGAGGGAAACTGAGGCAGCCCCCTCAGGCAGCAGATGCAAGGAGGGGACGGAGCTGAGTCCCATTTGGCCAGCCCTGATTTAACCCTCTATCTCAGGCATAGGCAACCTAAGGCCCATAGGCAGGAAGTTTGGAAAAACTTTAAAAAGTATAGGAACTCACATTAGGTAGTCAAAAAATAGTAATTGAAACAAAATGCTTATAAAAATAAGATAATTACTTAACATTTAGCTTCTATTACACATTATATCCACATAAGTCAATAGAAAAAGTATCAAGAGATGATGTTCAAGATGTGCCCTTTGGGAAATTTGGTTTTGGCAACCGCAAAACAACATCCTTGAAATCAACACTTGCAATGCGGAAGCAAACATACAAGATCCTGGTTTTTTCCTTAGATATGACACTTGTTTTGAGATTATTGTACACTAAGCGGGGCACTTATATACATATCAATGCGTCCCATGTCTTAGTGTATCAAAGTGCCCCAACAGACATTTTCAAAAAACTAATAATTGTTAATAAAACCACTGAATTTATTTGAAAATCACGTGTAATCCTGATTACTGAGTGGAAAAACTTACCTTTGGTATTTTTAAATCTTAACTAAATGACGTAAAAAAGTGTTGGAACACTTTTACATTTCACATAATTTTTTAGTTGGTTCTCTCGTCAAATGCCAACGGCTAAACTGGCGGGCAGCACAGTCGCAACTGTTCTACTCACACATGTATAGGCACATTTTGGTGATGTTGCAACACGAATATCATTTTTCGATATTGAAATATTGTTGGTGTGTCAATGTGACCCGCCTCCCCCATTCCGCATTTTCAGAGGAGGGGGAAGAAGGGGAAAGTGTGTCCCACCAGATAAGACTCCCATCCTCCCTGGCCATGGGCCATCCTTACTTGGGCAGGTGGTACTTTGAGTCCAACCACATCTGGAGGGCCAGAGATGCCTCCTCTCAGCATAGAAGGCTCCTCTAGGGCTCAGTGTTACGTGGGAGTTGGTGGAACTGGATCTTAACGGTTCTTGAGACATTTCCAAGGGATTGTGATTGCTATCCAGACCCTAACACTATAAATCCAAGGTGCCCCCACTGAGCAGTTTATCAACCCTGCCGGCCACTGGGGAAGACCTTCTGAAGGAAATCCTTTCCCCCAAAGTTGCTTCCTTCCTTCCTCCGCTGCTGCTGCCCACACTAAAGGAATGTCTGGATGAAATCCCAGGGATGTCTGGCTCCTATTACAAGAGATCCAGTTGATATTCTAGAATAAATTGTGGCTAAGATTCTGAGTCACAATCGTGACTGAGAAATACAGCCAGGGAATATGAAACTGATTTGAAGATTGGTTTCTTCTTTACACATTATTATTATTATTATTATTATTATTATTATTATTATTATTATTATTACATTCAGCTGGACACACCACTGGTTTCATCTTCTTCTTTCTTTCCCACAATCAGTGTTATTCACCTTTAATACTCACCTTTTTCAGTGTCACACATATTTTTATCTTCTGATCTTCAGATGAAGAGAGGTATACAAATTTAATAAATAATTCCCAGTTGGAGCAGAGCTAGAATATCCAGAAGCCCTTGGCCACCCAGGGCAAAGGAGGAAGAACAGTGAGAGAGGCCTGGACAGGGAATCTCCGCTAAGATAAGCCAGTGTCAGGAGGCGGGTGCGAGACCCGGTGGCATATAATTATTATAAATCATAATTGGGGTGGGTGTCTCAATCTGGCCTTCCCAGCAGTCAGGCTCCAGCTGCTTTCCTTCTGCATCTCCAGCTCTCTCCATTCAATAATGCAAGACTGAGAGATGGAGGTCCAACCCCAAGAGCATTCTCCAACTGAGCACTCCTTCAACTGACCACAAGCACCAAGCCTTGTCACTAGACTTATATATGGGTCTCCCAAAATGGTCAGTATGGACCTCCTGAGGCGAAAGGGAATGTGCAGGTGATTAATAAAGATCTAGAGGTTGAAGGGGACAAAATGCGGCCCAAGGGGTGGAGGATTATTGTGCAGAGGATGAAGAACTTCATGATGAACTTAGGACCCTGATGAATCTTGGCCAGGTTCATGGAACATACAGCTGCTCCCTTTCCTGTGAGAAACCACTTTTTATAAAACGTAAACCCCACAGTTCAACCGTATTCTAAGATAATGCTGCTTCATTAACAATAATTAAGGGTTATAAAAGGCTGATGATGCATGACCATTATTTTACATTATTTCATTTGCCTAAAAATTTGGAACATATGGAAGACAGGAGAGATTGTACAAGACGTTAAAATAAGAGCAGGTGCTAATTGATGTGTGTAATATTCCTTTGTTCTCTTCCTAGAAAACAAATAGGATTTTCTCCCTACCCCACCCCATCGAAAGAAGACAATGGAGAAGGCAATCAGAATTCTGGTGGGCCATGTGAAATGGGAATAACGAAGAAACCATTTAAATACATGGAGTGTGAAAACAGAGAACATAAACAATTTGAAAGTATGGAGTGTGGAAGGAGCTTCACTGACAGTGGAAACCTTAGAAAACACCAATGGAGTGACACAGGGGAGAAACCATTTAATTGCATGGAGTGTGGAAAGAGCTTCATTGAGAGTGGAACACTTAGAATTCATCAACGGACTCATACAGGGGAGAAACCATTTAAATGCATGGAGTGTGGAAAGAGCTTCAGTCAGAGTGGACACCTTAGAGTTCATCAACGGACTCACACAGGGGAGAAACCATTTAAATGTATGGAGTGTGGAAAGAGCTTCAGTCAGAGTGGAGACCTTAGAGTTCATCAACGGAGTCACACGGGGGAGAAACCATTTAAATGCATGGAATGTGGAAAGAGCTTCATTACTAGCGGAAGCCTTAGAATTCATCAACGGAGTCACACAGGGGAGAAACCATTTCAATGCATGGAATGTGGAAAGAGATTCACTGAGAGTGGATGCCTGAATGCACATCATCAAACTCACACAGGGGAGAAACCATTTCAATGCATGGAATGTGGAAAGAGATTCACTGAGAGTGGAAAACTTAGAATTCATCAACGGAGGCACACAGGAGAGAAACCATTTAAATGCATGGAGTGTGGAAAGAGCTTCAGTCAGAGTGGATCCCTGAATGCACATCATCAAACTCACACAGGGGAGAAACCATTTCAATGCATGGAATGTGGAAGGAGCTTCACTACTAGTGGAAACCTTAGAATTCATCTACGGACTCACACAGGCGAGAAACCATTTAATTGCATGGAGTGTGGAAAGAGCTTCACTACTAGCAGAAGCCTTAGAATTCATCAACGGACTCACACAGGGGAGAAACCATTTAAATGTATGGAGTGTGGAAAGAGCTTCACTACTAGTGAAAACCTTAGAATTCATCAACGGATTCACACGGGGGAGAAACCATTTAAATGCATTGAGTGTGGAAAGAGCTTCACTACTAGTGGAAACCTTAGAATTCATCAACGGATTCACACGGGGGAGAAACCATTTAAATGCATGGAGTGTGGAAAGAGCTTCAGGCGAAGTGAGCACCTTAGAATTCATCAACGGACTCACACAGGAGAGAAACCATTTAAATGCATGGAGTGTGGAAAGAGCTTCAGTCAGAGTGGACCCCTTAGATGACATCAACAGACTCACTCGGGGAGAAACAAATAAATGTATGGAGTGTGGAAAGAGCTTCAATAGAAGTGGAAACCTTAGCAAACACCAGCAAACTCAAAAAGGGAAAACCACTTACGTATATGGAGTGTAGATAGCGCTTCAGTCCTGATGTTCTTACAAAACATCAATGGTCTCACAAGGAGGAGAAGCTTTAAGAGTTGAAACCCAACAATCTACCAACAAACTGAAAAAGCAGAAGTGATTTAAATGGAAGGAGTGTGCAGGAAATGCTTCTATTACTTTATATGTATATAATTTTACATGCACAGACCATCGGCTGTGGAGAGGACTGCAGGGCCTGCTCCCTTCCAGGGCCTTTTCCAACTGGCCCAGGGGGCGTGGCCCAGGCCCTCTCTCCCAGCTATAAAGGGACTCCTGCTGCGGTGAGGCCTCGGACCATCGGCTGGGTGAGGACTGCAGGGCCTGCTCCCTTCCAGGGCCTTTTCCAACTGGCCCAGGGGGCGTGGCCCAGGCCCTCTCTCCCAGCTATAAATGGACTCCTGCTGCGGTGAGGCCTCGGACCATCGGCTTGGTGAGGACTGCAGGGCCTGCTCCCTTCCAGGGCCTTTTCCAACTGGTCCAGGGGGCGTGGCCCAGGCCCTCTCTCCCAGCTATAAAGGGACTCCTGCTGCGGTGAGGCCTCGGACCATTGGCTGTGGGGAGGACTGCAGGGCCTGCTCCCTTCCAAGGCCTTTTCCAAAACAGTAATAGGCAAACTATCCCCAACCCCATCCCCACTAATCCCCCTGGCGTACCACCCATTATTCCATCATGCAGCACAAAACCTCCAGATAAAAACCTGGCAAACCAAAGGCTTATATTGCCTAATAGACTTCTACAAAAATAACAAACCTTTGTCAACACAAGAAATACAAGACACACTAGAAGACACCCAAATGCCCTGGTTAACACAACACCAATTACAAGCCCTCTTAAACAATCCAGTAGTAAAATCAGCAGCAACTAGGCCCCTGACAACCGTTGAAAACCTCCTCCTAACAACAAAGGGAAACGGTAAAGGGATGGTATCTGCAATATACAAAATACGACTTAAAAATCCCACGAACTCCGTAGACACAATCAAAAAACAATGGGAGGATGACATAGGCTATGAGTTTAACTCCACTCAATGGACCAGAATGTGCTCTAAACCCCAATTTAAATCCATATCAACGAAAAGAAAACTCACTCTGAAGCTCACCTACATGTGGTACCTAACACCAAGAAAACTAGCACTAATACGCCCAGGAACCTCACCAAAATGCTGGAGAGGGTGTACCTGTGGAGATTTACGATATTGGCGCGACTCCCGCTAATTGATTTATGGCCCTCAATTAGCTCTTTACTGTCCGGCACACTTCCCCTGCCGCACGCTCTGCTCCGAGCTCCCAGCCACGCCAGTAGCAGAGGTTCACACAGCGATGTAAAACTGTCACGTAGCTCGTCTCAGCTCGTCTCAGCTTCCAGACAAACACACAGAGCCCGGTTTGTCTATTTACAGCTCTTTATTCCGACATTCCCCCAGGAATCTCCTGGGCTCCTTTCCGCCATTAGGAAAGCTACGTCTTTCTCCCTCAAAGACCAGAGGGGAACAGACAGAAACTCCTCCCAGGCTCCTCCCAGCTTCCAAAAGCTGACGTCAGAATTGAGGCATCATGGGAACAACTTAACCAGTTAAGTTCCAACTCCCATACCCCCTCTGCATCACATTCTGACAAGACCTTCTGAGTTCAACACCTTCCCCTTTGCCTTGTGCCACTTCCCGGCATCTTTCCCAGGCACCTGTTGAACCCCTTCAGCATTCCCAGAATCACACTGTGCGACACTTTTCCACGCACCTGTGACCTGATACCCTACTGACCCATTAGGGCCAGCAGTTGTGTCTTCTCCGTCAGACTCTTCCCCCTCTGACTTGACACCCCTTCCGTGAGCTTTCTCCATTACCGGAGATGAAGCCTCACACCTGGACACTCCTTTCACAACCCTTGGAGATGCCCAAACCTGCCCTGAACCCTGACCCTGGACTTGGTCCCCATCACCGGGTTTTGAACCCTGATTCTGGACCTGATCCCCGTCACCGGGCTCAGCAACAACCTCCCTTCTCCCTTGAGAAGACTTTGCACCCCGTCACCTAGTGACGTATTCCCTTTTCCTTGAAAAATTCCTCCAGAGCAGACCCAGTAAACTGTGACCCTCGGTCGCTCTTGACCTCTTGCACCTTGGTGGAGAACTTTAGTTCTACCTCCGCAACCCAATCCTGGATCAGTTGCACTGCCTCCCCCTGTGATTTGAGAGAGAGACACCAGCCAACCTGGCTGTGGTCATCTGTCAGCGATGGCACATACCTGGCCCCACCCAGACTCTCACACCTCATGGGTCCTGACAGATCTGTGTGAACCAGCTCAAAAGCTTCCTTGGCTACCCTCCCAAACCCGGGAAAACCAAGTACCTTTGCACCTTTGCATGCCCTGCACCCTTGGGACCTCCCACATTTCCGGAGTTTGTACCCTTTTGTGCACCTGTGCAACTTTTGCACATCACTGGGAACCTTAGCACACTGCACCTGTGCTTTTTCCAGCATTCCCACCACCCTCCAGAGGTGACTCCAGAACAAAGAAATTATTCTTGCTCTTCGCCATGTTGACCAGTTGTCGCCCCCCTCTGAAAATGGAACAGGTGTCATTTTCAAAGCACATTTTGGAACCCCTGCTTCATTAGAGCAGATACAGATAACCGACAACTATTCAGTCCCGGCACAACGTAGACCTCTTGCTCCTCCTGTAAAGGAGAGAAAAAACACGTTAGCCACACCACAGACTGCTTTTTGTGCTCCGTCTGCGAATAAAACAATTGTTCCTGTTGAAAACAGCCCTGCAGTTCCGCAGTTTGCCTATCAGGTGCTGCCTGATAGCAGAAACCAAAACACCCAGCGTGTCACCGTGTCCTGGCTGGAGTTGTTCTTCACAGTTGCCATAGAAGCAGTGATAAGAAACAACCCTCCCCAGTGTCTGAGACACGTCTTTCCCTTGCGTTCCCACGCTGGCGTCCTCTCCCAGACTGACTCCCGTGGGAACTCAGCTGGTTGACCTTGGGACCTTCCTGCCCAGCTGTCTCCGCTCTCCATGGGCAGCAGCGTCGCAAGCGTCCCGCATTACACGTGTAGCAATGACGAACTCCAGTGGAAAAACACTGCTCCGGGGCTCCTCCCAGCTGGCCTCCTTCTCCTTCTTCCGGAAAAGCACTCCTTGCCAGCTCCGCCCCCTCTGAACCTCCACTTGATTCCAGCACGTACAGTGGAAAACTTTAAACGTGCCTTTGGAAATCTTCGCCCCCCCCGACCTGCTCAGCAGCACTCCTTGTGGCTAAAGCATCAGGGACAGGGGCTCCAGCCATCTCTAGGCTTTTGTATTCCTTCTCCAGGGCTCTGGCCTTTTGCTGAAGCTTCACAGCAAACACAGCACGTTTCCAAGCAGCCCTTTTAGACTCTGCAAACCTGGCAGCAACGGCAGCAGTACCAATAGTCCCTTTGCCCCCCTCTGGGGCCCACAGCCTTTCCCAGCTGTGCACTGGCTCTCACGAAGGTGATCAGTGCCATCTTGCTTTCTGTTCTGAAGCAGCCATCTCCCAGCCCTTGCTTCCGCCTCCAGCCTCATAAACACCCTGGAGCGCTGAACGGCCTCTGGCTTCCTGGCACCCAGAACAGTAGACTTCAGATCAGCAGCCAGGTTGCCCAACTTCTTAAAGTGAGCCTCCCACAGTCCTCCAAGACCTGGCAGCCTGCCATTCTCTTCCGTTCTCCCAAGGGGCCCCAAGCTGTACTCACAAGCTTCTCTGGCTCTCCCTTCCGTGGAGAAACGATTTTCCAGCTGCTCTCTTAGCTCCGCAGCTCTAGCTGGTCCCAGCACTCAGCAACACAGGCAGCCACCGTCTCCTGCCGAACTTCAAACGCATTCCGGCAGCTTCTTCAGTGACAGTTTTACAAGCGGTGATTTAGGTTACCCATAACCTGTGGAGATTTACGATATTGGCGCGACTCCCGCTAATTGATTTATGGCCCTCAATTAGCTCTTTACTGTCCGGCACACTTCCCCTGCCGCACGCTCTGCTCCGAGCTCCCAGCCACGCCAGTAGCAGAGGTTCACACAGCGGTGTAAAACTGTCACGTAGCTCGTCTCAGCTCGTCTCAGCTTCCAGACAAACACACAGAGCCCGGTTTGTCTATTTACAGCTCTTTATTCCGACATTCCCCCAGGAATCTCCTGGGCTCCTTTCCGCCATTAGGAAAGCTACGTCTTTCTCCCTCAAAGACCAGAGGGGAACAGACAGAAACTCCTCCCAGGCTCCTCCCAGCTTCCAAAAGCTGACGTCAGAATTGAGGCATCATGGGAACAACTTAACCAGTTAAGTTCCAACTCCCATAGTACCTCCACAGGCACATACCTCCACGTGTGGTGGGAGTGCCCAAAATCCAACTATTCTAGACAATAGCCATACAAGAAATAAGTAAAATAACCCAACAAGTATTAGAAACCACCCCAGAACTGGCCTTAGTAAACATCTTCCAAGACAATAATGGCCACTTACACCACAAATAACTCATAACAGCATACAAATCAATATGGCTAACCTGATTCAAAAACACCCACCCACCATACTCACACACGAAAACAAAGTTCACCACAGCCAATCACAAACAAGCAACCGCACCCTAGGCCAACCCCAATTTCTCTCACCACCAAAGGAACACAAGTGAGTAGCAAAGAGAACCCACACAAACAACGCTGATGCAAAACCCCACACATTAAGCAAATTAGAAACATTGCTTCCCGAGCCCACCCCCCACTCACTTTCCCCCCCTCCACCTCTTCCTCCCCCCTTTTCTTCCTAACGTAACCCTAATGTCTCAACAGATGAAACTGACCAATGGAAAATGTAACT